AAAAAATGGCTTTTTTTAATTTTTTTGCTAAAAAATAATTTTTATGCAATAAAACTAATAATAATAAATATTATGTAAAATTTTTTATTGTTTTTGAAATTTTTTTATAAAATTTCGCTTCTTTTGAGACCCAACATGATATACATTTAAAAAACTTTTTTTTCTTCTGTTTAGGGTCTCGTCGCAAGTTTCAGATTTGATTTGGCCCCCTTAAATCTCATTCAATTTTGAAAAAATCTAACAGAGTGTCTTGTGAGTACCAATAGAAAGTTTTAAGAATAGGGATAGATCAATTTTTGAAAGTATGGGGCATTGGATGCACCCTAATATATATATATATATATATATATATATATATATATATATATATATATATATATATATATATATATATATGTAAATATATAATTCCAGGCTCGTTAAAAATGATTGGTGATTGGAATGATTGCTTTTTTGCTACTCTTAAGCAACTCTTAAGGCATAAATAGATCCTTAAGTTACACTGAAAAGAATTTTTCCGATAAAAAAATAAATGGTCATTATTTGGGTTAGAGTTCTCAAAATAAATTCACTAAAGAGTGTAAAATAATTGCCCGCGGTGTTATGATTAACAAACCTAATATGGCTATTTACTATTTCATTTTCGTGGAGGGAACTCCAGAATCACTCTTAAAAAACCAATTTACTTTATTTTTCCGCTTATAATAGTCAAAATTAATTTACTATTATAACTTAATTTTGACTAATTAAAAACTTAATTTTTAAGTTATATTAGTCAAAATCTTGAAAAAAAAAAGCGCAGACAATGTCATGACAATGTTTGCGCTTTTTATTCCTCAAGATTGCATCTTGAAGCAAAACCTGATAGATCAGAAAACTGAAGAGGTCAAGGATATGAAAACGTGTCCTGTATGAACAAGTTATTAAGCGAAATTATACTTCATAAGAATTCTCCACCTCTATAAATGACGTGCAGCACTCATTTGGTGTTGCTCAGTCGGCTGAATCTTCTAGGAAAGTGAAAAGCAATTTAAATTGGGTTCATTTTTGTTAGTTTGTCCATCCATGAAACCTTAAAAGCCATTAAGACTGTGAGTTTCGTTAAGCAACCTTTTTTTTTTCAGAATCCTGATCTTGCTCCAACTGCTGACAAACCAAATAAGCTGAAATTTTTAAAGAAATAGATTTAGTTATTTAAATTTATGATCGTGAAAACCTTCTTTTTTAAAGTTCTTCATATCAGTCTGTCACTTTAATCAGAAAAAATTGAAATAAGAAAAGCTTATAATAACTCGTATTGAGAGTTTTACAGGATTAAAAAGAATAGGAGATAAAGGATAAGAAGGAGATAAAGAGATAGAAGCACATTTAATTATCTCTGGTATCTGATTTTTTTTAATCAGATTTTGCTAAAAAGAGGATTATGAATAGTCTTTTACAAAGGAACAAAGTTCATGTCCACAAAAATACAGAAACAATTTAAGTTGACCATGTTCAAAACTGCTTTCTACAGGTTTTAAGCTGCAGAAAAACAACAAATAAGTTCTCGTTCCTATAGTTTTTAGAATCTAACAATAGGCCGAATGAAGTAAAGGAGTTTTAAAAAGAAATTGAATTTTATGGAGAGTTCTTTCACCTAGATTCTTTGAAGCACGCCAACCTTTTTAGTCCGAAAAGAACCTCTTACTTTTAATGTTATTGAATGGCTTTACTGCAGACTTTCATTGAATAAATATGCATTTTGATGCACATTTTCAATGCAATTTTCATTTTTGTTGCCAAAGGAGAGTGGTCTTTTAGTAAGCTTGTTCTACTCAAATCAGTATTAAGATTTAAAATGAGTCAGGATTGTCTCACCTAATTTATAGTTATTTCCTATGAATTTGATCTTGCAAAAACTGTGCAACGAAGTAATTTTAAGTTTCGCTATGATTAAATCGCGGAAAGTCAATTTCCTTTGAAGTAGACTGTAAAATGGCTCATACACTCTATACTGGATGTTTAAGCACTTAATTATTGTGATACAAATAAATACTTTTGAGCAGTTCCATGAAAAAACAAAACTTTACGGTATTTACATTTCAAAGTAACAACAAAAAAACTTAATTACAATATTGCAATAACCTAAGTATTAAAAATAAAGTAGCCATTATTTTTATTTGTATATTTAAAGATATTGTTTAAAATACGCGCGTCACAACGCGACATCGATTCGTGACGCTGTATTATGCGTCACTAAGTGGATATAAGATTTTACGTTTTTTAAAGAATTAATCAACTTTAACTTTTTAACTATTTTTTTACGAAATTAAGTTAATAGTTCCTAATTAAAATAAGATTATTTAAATGTTTTCAATTTAGCTTTTTAAGAGGGGGAAATTCAGGGTTAAAAAAAAACATGTTTTTGATCAATTTTTTCATTGTTTATCACAAAAATAAAACAATTGGATTACACTTATATATTTTCAACTTAATGATATATTTAATAAATTAAAAACCAAGAAATGTAAAAAAAAAAAATTAATATTAGATAATGTTTAAATCAGTAAGCAAAGATGTATTGAACCATATGATTCAATAAATGATTCAAGCTGTGATTTAACATATTGAATTAGTTGATTCAAAAGTCAATTTATTGTATAAAATTTGAATGAAAGAAAAAATGGCTACCTTTGTAATAACAAATGTTACTACAGTGGCAGCCATTTTTTATTTGATACAACAAACAAAAAAATGACTACCTCTGTAATAACAAATATTACTACAGAGGTAGCCGTTTTTTATTTGATACAAATTTTATGCAATAAATTGACTTTTCTATACGTAAAAATATTCTGACTACTTCTGTAGTAAGATTTTCCAGGTGTGAATTGTATAAACCAACTCAGATTTTTGTTCTTAAACCTTTTTTATTTAGTGTTATAAAAACAAAATATATAGTAAATAAACATGGTTAAATGTTCATAAAGAAAATTATCGGTTAACAAGTCTTTATTACCGGTAAACTAAATTTATCCACAAAAGATAAAAAATCCGGATTTCAAGATATTTGAGTTGTTTTTTTTTAATAAGCGCAAAAATGACCTGAATAAAAATTGTTTTAAAATATTCAATAGTTATTGGGTTAATGACTTTTTTAGTTGGAGTGCGACGCTTGTGAGCCGTGACGCACTTATTTTAGCAATAATTTATAAAATACAAAGTAACAAATAATTAAATTTTATCCAAAAGAACACATATTTTTAACAAAGAATGATATACTTAAAAACTTTTTTTATTAACATAAATGCTTTAAAACTCGATAAAAGCAAAAATCGAGGGTGCGTAGATTTGCTATTTTGTGCTAGTTTGTGTGTGAAATCAAAATTAACAAATTTCAAAATATTAAAAATTGCCTTAATCTAAAAACACACTTCGAATGTTATTTACATGGAATCTATATAAGACGATTAAAAAATCTCAATTCTTTTAGCGTTTTTTTTTTTTTTTGGTGCATCAATTGGGTTTAACAAAGCTCTAGTGAAGTAGGTTCTATTAAAACCAATTTGACCATGGCCTTTGTCAGATTATGACACCATAGGCTAAGGCGTCATAATGGGCAGCGATGTGCATGCAATAACATAGCTATATAGTGTTACTGTTATCTGTAAAATAAAAATTCTAGCACTTAGCTGTGTTTATGCCTTATATAAAAACGAGGTATGAAATGTTATTGAAATTTTATTAAATTCTATAATTACACAAATTTATATGGTCAGCGGTAAGTTTTTTAAAACGTAAACTCAGAAACGAAAAAAGATGGTGATACATCGAGGCTTTACCGCATACTTATTACATTATTACAACTTTTCTGCCTTGAAATTCAGAGGAAACTTTTCACATTAATTTGTATTTAGAATTTTTTTTTAGCATACAGATTATAGAAATATAATAATTTAACAACGTTTACTCATTTTTTTCAACAATTACAGTATGTAGTATTGCATGTAGTATCCCTTAGTAATATATTATTTATATTTTAATTCTATATAATTTAGAAATTAAAAATTATGAGTTACCAAATTTGAAAAGCCAATGTAATTTCATTTTTGTGTTATTAGTAAAGTGTTTTTTGATTTTAAATATTTCTATATTCTATAGACGTTGTAATGATTTTTTTGAATTATACAATAATTTTAATTAAATAATTCAATTAAATTTACTTAAATTATTGAGAAATTTTGATAAATTTGGAACTAAAAAAAAATTTGTTTTCCATTAATATTTTTACTAACAATTTTTTACTCTGACATTGGTGTATAATAAATCTTAAATTAGTTTTAAATACCAATAAACTAACTAAAATAATAAAAAAGTAAAACAGTAAAATAATAACTTAAAATAGATAGTTAAGAAAGTATATTTGAAACTGTTATAAGTTATTATTGAAAGTTTAAAAGTCTTGACTTTTTTTTTAAAAGTCATAACTTTATGAAAAATAATAAAAACTAAAAGTGAGTCAACTATAAAACGAAACATTTAGAATGTGATTTATGCCAACATCTTTTAACTCATAAGAATTAAAGTAAAAATTTGAAAAATCTTTCTAATAAATATAAAATATTGGCTTTAAAAAAAGGTAGATAAAATATTACCTATTAATTGCAAAAGTTTTTAATAGTATATGACAAAACATGTAAAAAATCAAACTAATTGAATGAAAAATATACAAGTATGTATTCATATTTATATGCTAATTAATGGTAACCTGTTAAAAATAAACTTTTTTTTCTCAATTTTTTTCATGCCAAGTAATACTTAGATGTAAGAATGTAAGATTAGAAAGAGTTATTATACTTAAGGTATAAAAACTCTTTGTAATCTTACATTCTTCTGAAGAATCTATGTTAATAGTAAGTGTAAAAGTTAGTTTGATTTAATATATCATGACTAATTAGTATACATTTTTTGTTATATATATATATATATATATATATATATATATATATATATGCATTTAGTATTTCAAGTATTTTAAAATATTTTAAAGTAAAATTTGAAAGTATTCATGTGTGAGGAAAAACTTTAAAGAAAAATGGCGACAAGACGATCAGCTGGACTTGTTCAAAGGAGCAACGTTAAATCAACAACAAAGGAAGTTTCAAATTCAGATGGTGATCATAAGATTGTTAGTTCTCCTGATCAAAATTTAGATGAAGAGTCAGATTTTGCTGACAAGCAAACGCGATTGACTATAATGGAGGAAGTGTTACTACTTGGTTTAAAAGATAAAGAAGTCAGTGTAGTTTTTTGTTTGTTTGTTTGTTTTTATTATTCAGTAAATATAAAATTGTATGATAGTTGCAATATACATGTAAGTACCAAAAACATGACATCTGTGTTATTCATTTTCCTCAATTGTTTTTTTATTTTTAAATTAATTATTTTACTTTGAATTAATTACTTTCTTTTTAAATTAATTATAAATTTTGAGTTATTTAGAATTAATTTAAATGAATTTAAAAATTAAGATTGACTTACAAAATCATTTTATATTGATGGTGAATTGAATAAAACTTATAATGTTTACATAAATCAAATTCCTGTATATTGTAAAGCTTGTTGTTATAAATTATGGTCTGTGTGCTGCACCTTGTTCAAAGTGGAAAATATTTTAATGTGGTTATTATGGTGCTAATATTGTAAACTCTTCCAAAAAGGAGTTTTTAACAGAAATTTAAAGAATTAAACATGTTTACTAAAATATATAGTAAGGTCATGATCTCAGTAAATATATTATAAAAACAAAATTAAAGAAATTTAGGTTGTCAGATTACATGAATATATCTTTTCAACCCTAGAATTCAAATTATTTGTTATAATTACAATTGAAATTTGAGTTATATTATAATTAGAATGAGAAATTATTAATGCTTATTTTTAATTGCCTATGCTCATAAAAGCATTTCATGAAATGGTTTCAAATTACTCTACAAATGTTTTGTTTTTATAAAAATATGGTTGAAAAAAATTATGATTTATTTCCAAAAATTTTAAAAACTCGAAGTTTTTTAAATTCAAGTCTTAAGTTATGCAAAAAGTAAACCAAAATATTAAACATTAAAAACCATCTCCAACACCTAACTGTTTTAACATATTTTTTACTAATATTCATGGTCTGCGAAGCAATCTTCCATCAGTTGAATCTTACCTCCTGCAAAATTTGCATGTTCTTCGTGAGACTAATTTAAATTCTGCTATTCCTTCTGATCTCAGTGTTGATGGGTACTATCCTTTGATTTGCAAAGACTCCAATAATCACATGTTTGGCGTAGGGGTATTCATACGCATCAATTCATCTATTTGTCATGAAATCAGGTTTGAATCCATTGACCATTCTTTTATAGGTTTTCGCTTAGCACCTCTTCACTCTATCACCTTTCTTTTTCTTTATTGTTCTCTATACTTCCAAGACTTTTAGATATAATTTTTCACTCTTTTAGAAATAATTTCTGATCAAATTGATCATGCTTCTCTCTTTACCCCTTGACCAATATTGTTGTTGTTGTCACTTTAATGCTCATCACACTGAATGGCTTGGCTCTAACACCACTGACCCTGTTGGCACTAAAGTTTATAACTTCTGCATATCTCAATCTCTTACTCAGATAGTTAACTTTGTGACTCGTTTTCCTGACAACCCTAATCATTTACCTTCACTCATTGATTTATGTTTGGTCTCTGATCCTAGCTTTTGTTCAGTTTCTCCTTTTTCTTCCTTGTGGTTCTGGCCATGCAATGATCTCTTTAAATTTTTTATCTTGTACTTCCTTTTCGGACTATTATCACATTACTTACTTCTACTAAAGCTGATTAGGATTCTTTTTGTGATTTTGTTTGTGACGGACGTTGGGTTTATGTCTTTTTCCTCTCAGCTCAAAAATGTACCTGCAATGTAACCTCCTGAATTCAGGCAGGAATGGAAGCTTTTATTTTTTCTATAATCATTTCATCTTTTTTAAAAAAAACAACTCTCTTGAGAACAAGCAGCTATTTATTGTTGCATGAAATCTATGTAAAAAGGCGCATTCAGATGCTAAACTCCATTATTCTCAGTTCATTAAATCTGGTATCTCATGCTAAAGTAATATCTCAATTTAACTCTTATATTGATTGTGGTCTCAACAACTGTCACAGTCTTTTAAAATTGTTCTACAGAACTCTCTTCAATTTTCTCTAAACTATTTAAGTGCTTGACTGAGTTTTGTTTTCCTGCCTGCTGGAAAATGGTATCTGTTTTCCAATTTTCAAAAACTCTGGTGAACATTCTGACCCTTCCAATTACTGTCCAATCATTCTTCTTTCTGTTGTTAGCATGGTCTTTGAGTCTTTGATAAACAAATTTTTCACATCCCATCTTGAGTCAAATAATTTGTTGTCAGACAATCAATCTTAAGGTTCTATCCATGGTCCTATTTTGTTTCGTATCTAGATTAATGACCTTCCCGTCAACTGTATATCTAAAGTAGCTCTTTTCGCTGATGACTGAAATTTATATTCCTATCTTGACAAAAAGTCTTCTCTTTTCGAATGCTTAGAACAGACAGCCGATCTTGAATCTGATCTCAATTCTGTAACAGATTGGGGCTCACAGTGACTAGTAAATTTTAACTCCAACCAAAACTCAGTTATTTACTGCAAACAACCATCGCAATACTGTTGACATTTCTATATTAATGAAAGGCAGTCCTCTCACTAAGTCCTTACTTTAGCTATTTTGGGATTATTGTTTACTACTGACCTTTCAGGGAAACCATATATACAATCGATTGCTAAATTAGCATCTGCTAAGGTTGCTTCTCTTTATCAAACTCATCATTTTTTCTCTCCTGATTCCATTCTCTACCTCTACAAATCTCTTATTTGTCCCTGTATAAAATACTGTTGTCATTTTTAAGCTAATTCTTCTAATGATGCTTTTTCTCTTCTAGACAAGGTCCAAAAACACATTGTGAGCATAGTTGGACCCGGTCTATCTGCTAAGCTTGATTCTCTTACCCATTGTCGTAAAGTTACATTTGTTTATTTATTTTACAAATACTACCATGGTCGCTGCTCAAAGGAGCTTTTATCTCTAGTTCTATGAACCAAAACTCATTCTCACTTGACTTGCCATTCATCAAAGTCTCATTCTTTTACTGTATCCGTCCCTGCATGCTCAAAAAACTTTTATTTGTCTAGTTTTTTTTTCTGCACTTTAACCCTTTAGAACTCTCTCTCATCTTTATGTTTTCTTGACTCATACAACCTTCATCTGTTTTTTTTCAACTTCTATAACCCTATTTTTTTGTAATAACTTTCAACTTAATAGTGGTTCCTTGCAGCTTTGTTGGGAGTGAATCAGAATTTAAAAAGAAAAAGTCAAATTTTTTAATATTTAAAATATACTTTTTTTGCATTTTTAAAATATTAACAAAACTTTTAATTTTGTTTTGGTGTTTTTTATGCATATTGTTGCAAAATAATTGTATTTAAAACAAAGTATATTTTAATCAAGTAATTTCATACTAATGTCAGTTCTATTAAAAAAATTGTATCTACTGCATAAGAAGTGGATCATTTTGATAAAGTGCGGATGGTCAACCATCTGTTACAAATTATATTTGAACAAATTTTAAAAAAAAGTGCAACCTCCTTGACTGTAGTGTGGCCACATCTTGAGTCTTAAGAAGAGGTTAAGAGGTTGGCATTGCCAAATATTGATCTTGGTTGTGAGGGCTGATATAAATAGCAGTCTTCAAAATTAGGATAGGCATTTAACAATGCCAACTTAACTGCCACCTCGACAGTTTCTGAAGTTGGCAGTTTTTGCCAACCTCAGAATTTTAAAACTTAATTTATTATTTCGAACAAATTGAAAATGGCAAGACAAAAGTTTTATTTAAATTCTGAATAAAATTATTTTGAAAAACCTGGCCAGACAAATGTATTATTTAAATTCTAAATAAAATTGTTAAAAAAAAAAGCCAAAATCTTCTAATGATGCCCTTTCTTATTTAGGTGCAAAAACACATTGTAAACATAGTTGGACCTGCTCTTGCAGCCAACCTCCAACCATTATCACATTGCTGTAATGTTGCTTCTCTTTATCTTTTCTACAAACACTATAATGGGCATTGCTCTAAAGAGCTAGGGTCTCTTGTACCATCTACTAAAATTCATTCTCATGTTACTCGTTATTCAATAAAGTCTCATTTTTTTTCTGTGACTGTTCCTAAATGCTCTAAAAACTCTTACTTGTCTAGTTTTTTTCCTCGAACATCAGTTCTTCGGAATTCGCTTCCTTCATTTTGCTTTCCTGATTTATATAATTTGCAATCTTTTAAGTTGTCTGTTGATCATTATCTTGCTCTACAATCTTCATCTTTTCTCTTCCAGTAACTTCCAACTCTAATTAGTGTTTGCTTGCAGCCTTGTTGGAAGTGAAGATGTTTACAAACAAAAAAAAAAAAAAAAAAAAATGAACATTCTATTTAAGTTCTAAAAAAAATAATTAAAATAAAATGGATAAATGAATGTACTATTTAAATTCCAAATACAAACTTTTTAAACAAAACAATGTGTATATATATATATATATATATATATATATATATATATATATATATATATATATATATATATATACACACATGTATATATATATATAAGTATGTATATATATACATGTACATATATATGTATGTATATATATCAGTATGTTAGCCAGGAAAAAATTTCATAGGGCGTTTTTGTCAAATTGGGAATTTAGGTGCAGCTTAAAAAAAAAAAAAAAAAGGTCATTACATTTTGACATTAAAAAAGCAGATAAATTTCACATTTTTTAGATACAATTAATTTTTAATCGAAATAAATTTTCTCTTTTTGCTGGGTTATATTTACAGCAGGATTAATTTTCTACTTTATAAATGTTTAATTCTAATAATTCAACTTGTTTCATTATGAGCAAAATTTCTAAAGTTTTCATAAAGTTTTTTAAAAAGTTATTTAAGTCGATAGTTTTTAAATAAAAGTTAAATGAAAGTTTTCGAAATCTTAATAACTTTTAATTGAAAATTTTGGTTGGCTTGCCGATTTTCATCAAATATGTTTATTAAATGTATAAAAAAAGAACTTTAGTTGCAATATGCTCTTTTAATTTAAATAAGTAACAAAGACATTTAGGGGGCAGAGCAAGATTCTTTCATCACATGAGGACAGCAACTAAATTTAATTGGCATAATTAAATATCTAGTA